TGAAAACTAACCCCCAGTCTACTTCTTCTTTTCTTCCATAGCACCTACTAATATAGCACTCTCTAATAGCTATATAATTTGCTTGTTTATTATATGTATGTTTACTGCTTGTCTTCCCTCCACTGGAACGTAAGCTCCATTAGGTCAGGGGTTGTCATCTGTTTTGTTCAGTGATGTATTCCCACCTTCTGGAAAAGTGCATGGCACATGAAAGGCAATGGATAAATGTTGGCTGAATGAATGCGTGAGATAGAACCGTCTTCAGAGTCGAACATTCCAACCTGCTTCTTCACAGGTGGAAGACTGAGACCCAGTGTGGAGGTGTGAGTCACCCAAGGCCAGTCAGCAAATGAGGGACCGAGCTGAGACCAGACCGCCATGTCTTTGAACCCAACGCAGTGTTCTTTCTACAGTTGGGTGGAGGGCAGAGGTAACCCTCGCGATCGACGGCTGGATGCCTGCCTACCTGTCGCAGGTCTTCTCCTTCCGTCTTCACCTGCGTACCAGCCCGGCAACCTGCCAGATTCCCTTCGTCTCCTCACTGTCCTCTGGCTAATTGCTGTTGGCCTTCAGTCCTCCACTTTCTTGTTACTGCCTCTGGAACATTCTCCCTGATGTTCAGGACTAGACCGTCCTCCTTGCTGCTCCCAAAGCACCCAGATGTCCCCACCTTACCCTCAGTCAACAGACTGGAATCACCTGACTCATGGCCCACCTTCTCTGCTCCGATGCAGGGGTGCTACCTGAGGACAAACTGGGTCTGTCGAGTTCATTGCTGTTTCCCCAGGGTCTAGAATCGTGGAAGACATTAAGAAGTGTTTGATGAATGAATACTGAAGTTATTTTGCCTCTCTGTGCCCTAGCTTCTTCATCAATACATGAGGGCCGACAGTATCTACTCTGCAGGTCTGTTGAGAGGACTCTGCCTGGCATGTAAGATTTGTTCAGTTACCAGCCTCGCATCAGTCCTGTGAGGTGGGCCCTGCGTTCTTTCAGGTGATGGTCGGACAGGTGTGGCCACAGAGGGGTCATGGGAGAGACATGAGAAAGCAAAGTTTACTATGCTTACAGGTCCTAGAGAGGGAGTCACCATGTACCACTAAGGGTCACAAACCAGGTTTTGGTCAGGTGGCAGAAGACAGGGGTGAGGGGAAAGCATTAGGCCAGAGCCTTTATTGGGGTTTCTGTGGCAAAGACGAGGTGGGGTAGAGGAAACAGTGTAGGATTGGCTAGTTTGAATCATCTCGGCAGGCTCTAAGCTGGAGGGGTGGTCCCTAGTTACTGGTGCCTGGCCCTGGGACATTGGGTGCAAGGGCAGGTGAGATAGAGGAGTGAAGGCCCTGGATTGGCTAATTTGCATATCAAAGCCGTGCTCCCGGTTGAGTCCTCTGTTAACTCTAAGAATTGGCTTGTCCTGAGGAGCAGTCTCTCCCCAGCCAGGAAAGTTTTTTAAGAAGGACAAAACAAAATAAAACACAATACAAGGATCTGACTGTCCCTGTTTTTAGTGGAGAATCGAAGTCCTCTAAAGGTTAAGTGATGTGTCCAAGGCCGTATAGTTGGTAAGTGTCAGGACTTGAACTCAGGTCCATCTGACGCCCAAACGTGAGCTCCTCCCAGCTCGCATCATCCCCGGCCGGTGAGGGGGGCTTGTTTGCTCCTCTGGCTTTAACGCTCTGCGCTGGCAATTTTCTGGTTAGTTTGGGGTCAAATGCCAGCCAAACTTAGGGAAAGTTTGTAGGCCTTAAATTAAAGATGTCGTGAGCTCTGGTGGTTCCCCCGACCCCACTCCATCCCCAAAAGCCTCTCGGACTTTCCTGTGTGTGTGCCTGGTCACCACCTGGATGAGAGCAGTGCCTTGGCCATGATTTCCCGCAGAGCCCTTGCATGTCCCGGGAAGTCCCGGGAGAGCTTCCTCTTTACCCCCACAGGTGCCCGTCCCAGCCCTGGCAGCCGAGTGGGCCTCTGATGTTTACCCTCCTCAACCATTTAGTGCAGAGGCATCAAGAGGACAGCAGCCTATATTTTCTCCTCCTGTCTGTTAAAATGGCGAGAAACATTGGTGAATTTTTATTTCTTTTTTTAAGATTGCCATTTTAACCCTTTCCAGTGGCACTAAGTATATGCACAGTGTTGGGTAATGATCACCAATATCTATTTCCAGAACTTTTTCGTCATCCCCAAGGGAGACTCTGTACCCATTAAACAATAACTCCCCACTCACCCCTCCCTACCAGCCCCTGGTAACCACCATCCTCCTTTCTGTGTCTATGAATTTGCATATTCTAGGTACCTCATGTAAGTGGAATCACAATGTTTATGCTTTTGTGGCTGGCTTCTTTGATTTAGCATACTCTTTCCAAGGTTCATCCACATTGTACCGTGTGTCAGAATTTCATTTCTTTTTAGGGCTGAATAATATTCCATTGTATGGATATACCATATTTTGTTTTTCCATTCATATATCGATGGACACTTGGGTTTTTTCCACTTTTTGGCTATTGTGAATAATGCTGCTATGAACACAGGTGTACAAGTAGCTGTTTCAATCCTTGCTTTCGATGCTTTTGGGTATGTACCTAGGAGTGGAATTACTAGATCAAATGGCAACTCAATGTTTAACTTTTTGAGGAACCACCAAACAATTTTCCACAGTGGCTGTGCTATTTTGCATTCCTACCAGCAAAGCATGAGGGTTCCAACTTCTCCACATCATCCCCAACCCTTGCTATTTTCCGTTTTATTGATGCTGGCCATCCTAATGGGTGTGAAGTAGTGTCTCTTTGTGGTTCCGATTTGCATTTCCCTAATGACTGATGATGATGAGCATCCTTTCACGTGCTTTTTGGCCACAGGTATGTCTTCTCTGGAGAAATGTTTGTTCAGACCGCAGCCTCCTGGTCCCTGGATGCAGGGTCGGGATAGAGGGAGTACCCTGCTCTCTGTCTTCACTTGCCTGGGGCAGCCGGGCCTGCGAAGACACTGGCTCAGAGGCTGGGATTTGGTGTTTTCAGGCCTGGAGCTGGAAGGGGCTACTAGGTGCTGTGGGGTCTTCAGGATGAAGTAAGTCATGGTCCACAGAGGAGAGGAGGGGCTCTGATGTCAGAGTCTTTGTACAAAGGCAACGTGTCCAGGGCCGGAATTGAGGCGGGGTGGGGGTGGTTGCAAGGGATGAGGTCAAAGAGGAGGCAGGTTAGTGATAAGTAAGGTCAGTTATGGTCCACACAGCCGTTATGGGCTGGCAGGGAACTGCTGTGTGCATGGGTGGGTAGTCTGCATCACTGGGAGAGGGCAAAGTGTCTGCCAACTCCGCCATCCTGCCCCCAGGCCAACCCTACGCTTCATCCCCTCTGCGCTCCTGCCTCGTGTTTCCTGGAGACTGGGCCAGTCCAACAGCTCTGTTCTCACATCTCCACCCCACAATCCACACCAGGGTGCTGATGCCCCACAGTAGGTGGGCTCGTGTGTGCATGCATGTGTATGTGACGCCCTGGAGTGGGAGGAACTGGGAGGAGTGTGGATCCGAGACAGGAGACAGGATTATTGGTGTTGATGTTCCACTTTCACTTGATAGAGTTGGTGTGTTTCTGAGCCCAGGCTCTGAGTTCTGCTTCTTCATGGCCCAGTGGAAAGAGCACTGGACAAAGAGTCAAGACATATGAGATTTCGTCTTGGGTCTCCCTCTAATTGAGTGAGAAGGGGAGGTAAAGGGAAAGGAGAGGCTCCCACACTTGAGCAGGAGAGGCTCTCTCTCTTTCCTCTGAGGGCGGGAAGAACAGGGGACCTGTGTCCCGTGTCTGTTCTGCAGAGCATCATGATGGCTACTGTATGCCTTGCCTACGCCCTCATGGGTTAGTCAGTCTGCCTTAAAGGTATCAACAAACGTCCTTTATTTAGGGATTTGTAAAGACAACAAACAGATTAGCTAGCCCATTGCATTTCATTTACTCAAACAGTTAACCTAATCATAATTGTGCTTATATCAGCCACACACAATATGAGGCTCCACTTCAGAGAGATCCGTGTGCTACCTGCCAGCCCCCGGTCCCCAGGATGACATTGACCTCTTTAGACACAAGCAACTTAAGCACCATCCACTTCCCCTGTCGCCTGCCTTGTCCTGATTCTGCATATTCTGCTAAACCATTTCTGTTTCCCACGCCAGTTCACGACCTGCACAGCTCCACACTCACCGTTTCCTTGTTTCAGAGCAGACACATCATTCGCCAAGGCTCTCAGACAGTCCTGCTTCAGGGAATCAGAACTTAGCCTTCAAATTACCGAGTTTTTGCGGCTATGTTTCTGGGTTTCTAGCTGTATCTGGTCCTGTGTGCTACTGCAGAGATGGATGTAGTAGGGAAGGGGTGGGGGTTTGCTCTTTTCCCATGTGAAGCGATAATGGCTGCTCAACATGCACTGTCAGCTCAGGGCTCACGTGGGCCCCAGAGCCAAGCCCGGCAGACCAAGAGCCAGCATCGACTGTGGTCAATGCAGGCCCACTTCATCTTACTGTTTTTCCAGGGTGACCCCCACTGCCCCAGGGCCTGGGTAGCCAAATCAGCCGGGTGGGACTGGACAGGCAGATACTCCAATTTGTCTCCCTGCTCTTAGACCCTCAGACCAAGAGTGGGTGTTGGGCTGAGGGCCCTCAGACTTTAATCTAGCTCAGTCACTTTATCATTTTCTTTCACATTGTATTATTTTCTTTTATGTCATTCCATTTTATTTTATGGCCCTGGTTGTTTTTTGCAGCCTGCCTCCTGCCTGGCTCTCTGCAGTTATTCTTGGTCACGGCTACTGTCCCAGGGAGGTCCCCTCTCCAGGGCAGTCTGGAAGAAAGGGGAGCACATGTCAGGGGCTGGGGAAGCCAGCAGAAACCTTCTTCATCTGTTAATGTTTTGCTAGAGTCCACGTAGCAATGTATATAAAGCAAGTCCCACGGTGGGAAAATTCAGAATAAATTATTGCCTGCAATTTCCTGTCTGGTTCTTATTTTGTAGACTGGAGACTCAGAATGGGAATGGCCTGGTATTATTATGCCAACATCAGTATCGGAGGTCCCACAAATTCCTCACGAATCCTACAATGTCAGAGCCACACGGAGCCTTAGAGACCAGCCAGGTGAGCACCACGTAACATGGATGAGGCTCAGGGACCCAGAAAGGCCTGAGGCCACTCGGTGAAGAGGGCCATCCTCTGGGTGATGAGATTGGCTCAGCTTCAGCATACTGAGGCATGGATTTTAACAGATGTGAAAGATTGTTTTAAGGCAACCAAAGTCTGTTATTACTTCTTGAGAATCCCCGTCAGAGCAGCTGGCCTGCGTCCTCTCTCCACGCAGTTCCGTGTTGTGCATTTCCGGCCCAGCCTGGGGCTCTTTGTTTTCTTTGATTCCTTTGGCAGTGGAAGGCTGCTCCGAGCTGCTGAGAGCTGTGACGTGAACAGGGAGTGCCCAGGGCCTGGGCAAGCCAGTTACCCGGTGGGTCCCTCAGACTTGTCCTCTGATATACGGGAATGGTAATCCCTGACCTGCCTCTGTCGCATGGTGACAGGTGGAGGCAAAAGGGCTCTGTGAATGGAAAGGCCTTGTTTGCAAGAAGAAAGCCAGACCCTGAGAGAGTTTAGTGCTGAAAGGAAAGTCTTCTAAGATGGCCAGCTCCCCTCTTGAAGCCGTCTGCCAAAGTCTCACCGTCCCCAGGGACGTCCCCAGGGTCCCCAGGGACCTCACCTTCTGAGCCCCAGAGCCCACACTCCACCAGGAGAGAAGTCGTCCTTTACCACGCTGGCCAAGTGACTCTCATCTGCCCAAAACTGTGTGTTCTCCTGTGCCTGCACATTTTCTTCTTACTCCATCACCAGTGACTGCATCTATAACCTTGTGTTAGTTATTTACTGGTGTGTAACAAATCACCCCAAAACTTAGTGTCTTAAAGCAACAGCAATCATTCTTTTCCCTCTCGTGATTTCTCTGGGACAGAAATTCTGGGGCAGCGTGGCTGGATGGTTCTGGCTCAGGATCTCTCATGTGGCTGTGGTCAGACGTCACCTGGGCTGCACCCACCTGAAGGCTCGACTGGGCCTGGAGCATCTGCCCTCAAGGTACTTCACTCACATGGCCGCAGGTTGGTGTCGGCCTCGGCAGGGCCTCAGTTCCTCTCCACGGGGCAGCATGAGTGTTCTCATATCACGGCAGTGGCTTCCCTCAGAGCTAAGAGCTGAGTCCAAGGAAGCAGCTGCGAGGCCTCTTATGATCTAGCCTCATTTTCTCTGATTGTCCTAGTCACATGGGCCAGCCCTCAGGCAGGGCGGGAGGAGACTACCCCAGGGCAAGGACACCAGGAGGCAGGGATCCTTGGAAATTGGCTACTTCAGTCTCCCTTCTAGCTCCTGATGATTCATATTTCCCACATGAAAATACACTCACCCCTTTCCAAGGCCCCCAAAAGTCTCGTCACATTGTAGCATGAACTTGAAATCTTGGGCCCTGTCATCTAACCAGGTCTGGGTTCAGATGAGGCTCCTTGGGTGAATTTCTCAAATACAGCTCCTCGTGTGCAGTTCCTGTGGGTCTCCACGCCTGTGAACTAGAGAAATATATTACCATCCGTCTACCTAATATACAATGGTGGGAACGGCAAAGGATGGCCATTATAGGTCCTCTCATAACAATAAAAAAAAAAGGGAAAATGGGAGGAACACAGGGGTCCTTAGGAATTCTAAAATTCTGCTGGGCACATGGGCTGTTTCTGGATTAGAACTCAGCCCTCCTGCTTGGGGATGGTTCTCCATGGTTCTTGGCTCCACCCTCTGGGCTCAGAAGCGGAAGCCCTCTGAGCCATCCTTTCTTTTCCACAAGAGATGGTCATCGTTTGCAGCGAAGTCGTTTTCTCAGCCTGCTTTCTTATTTGGATATCCAAAGACCTATTTTCATTTTGTATGGCCTCTGCACCTTTTAGTCCAAACAAGCAGTGTTTCAGAAAACGCAATCATTTTAAAATCATTGTGAGTTTTCTATGAATCTTATTGGAATTTGCACAATTAGATAAAAGTCACAACCACAAATATTAATGAGAAACCCCTTCCTACCTTGAATTTCTATAAGGCTATAAGGCTGCTGTGGGACACCATGCTTAACATTACCAGAAGCCCTGTTGTTTATTGGTGAGGATCTATGAAGGACTTTTTCATTTGTTTGAATCATTGCCTTACATATTTCCAAGGTCTTAGTAAAGGACTTTATACTCACTTCCTCAGATAGACCATATTTTCCTGACAGTACCCTAGATTTGATCTTTTCCTCGAGATAGTTTTGAAATTTTAGCATCATTTCCTGTCTGCAGAGTCTAGGAACAAGACATTTTTATTTTCAAACCTAGCAAGACCTGGCTCCTTTGTGCTCACTGGTTCTTTCATTAACCTGTCTTCTCTTTTCACATTTTATTATAGGCAACCAGAAGAAGCCCGGGGGCACCTTTGACATTCTGTCTGGAAATCTCCTTTGCTAGATCATCCAATTCATTCAGCACGTTTTCCATTTTCCATTTTGCCATAGAAGGCAGTGTTGCTAAAATTTCCCTCACTGTATGTGATGGGCTGAATGCATGTGTTGAAGCCCCACCATCAGGATGACTGTGTTTGGAGACAGGGCCTGTGCAGAGGGGATAAAGGTTAAATGAGGTCGTAAGGGTGGGGCCCTAATCTGTAGGGCTGGTGCCCTTATAAGCAGAGGAAGAGACACCAGAGCTCTCTCTCTTCCATTCGAGGACACAGTACGAAGGTGGCCATGTGCAAGCCAGGAGGAGAGCTCTCACCAGGAGCTGATCTTGGGCTGGCCTCTTGATCTTGGACTTCCCAGCCTCCAGAATTGTGAGAAATAAATTTCTGTTGCTTAAGCCTCCCAGTCTGTGGTGTTTTGTTGTGGAAGCCGGAGCAGACTAACACAGTATACAACAAAGATCCCTTTCCTCCACCTTCCAGTATCCTCTTCCTTACTTTCCTTTAAGCCTTCGGGGACAACCTCCTTGAGGACCATCAGATTCCACAGTTTCTTCAAGACGCTTCTAACTTCTGCCCTCAAAGCCACTGCTCCATTTTTAGTTTTTTTTTGTTACAGCATCACTGCCCTTCCAGGTACCCAAATCTATTAGTTATCTATTGCTGCTAATATAGATCAAATACTCCAAAACTTACTGGCTAAAGCAATAATAGTCACTTATTATCTCCCGCAGTTTCTGTGGGTTGGGAATGCAGGTCAGCTTGGCTGAGGGCTTCTGGTTCAGAGTCTCCCATGAGGCTGCAGTCAGACCGTGTCTGGGTCCTCTGCTTGACTCCGTGTCTGGGACCAGGACTAAGAAGACTTGACCAGCTAGGGGCTGGAGCAGCCAGGGCCCCTCAGGCATCTTTCTCTATTGGTCTCTCTGCTTCATTTCTCCAGCATGGCACCTTCAGGGTAGCCAGACTTTTTATATGTTAGCAAGAAGGGCTCCCAAGGTATGTGTTCCAAGAGAGAGCCTGGCAGAAGCTGTATGCTTTTTATGACCGAATCTTGGAAGTCACATAGCATCATGTCTGCCACACTAGGTGAGAGTAGTCACGAGCCCAGACCAGATTCCACGGGAGGCAACAGAGACCCCACCTCTTGGTGGGAGGGGTGAAACTCACATTGTAGCAAGAGCATGTGGGAGAGTGATATACTTACATACATATATATTGATGTGGTCATTTTTGGAAAATATAATCTGACATAAGCACCCAGCACACAGTGGGTTTTCATGGATGTTTGTTGCTCATTTAGTTAGTTTACTGACCTTGTGGCTTAGTAATCATAATCATAATAATATGGTAATGATAATAAAAGTAATGATAATAAATAAATAAAAAGGTAAAAAAGTAATGATAATAAAGCTACAATAACAACTAGTTAAGTATTTATTACTCTGTGAGGGACATCTTTTAAAATTTCCTTTTTGATTGAAGTGTAACTTTTATTCAGTAAAGTCCACAAAGCTTGAGAGTACAGCTCAATGAATTTTTTTTTTTTTTTTAAAGATTTTATTTTTTCCTTTTTCTCCCCAAAGCCCCCCGGTACATAGTTGTATATTGTTCGTTGTGGGTCCTTCTAGTTGTGGCATGTGGGACGCTGCCTCAGCGTGGCCTGATGAGCAGTGCCATGTCCGCGCCCAGGATTCGAACCAACGAAACACTGGGCCGCCTGCAGCCAAGTGCGCGAACTTAACCACTCGGCCACGGGGTCAGCCCCTCAATGAATTTTTATATACGTTTGCAGACATGCACCCAAACCTAGAACTAGGTGTAGAAAGTGTCCACACACCATGAGGCTCCCTTAACCCTTCACGGTGAATGCGCCTCCCCCTCCTGTAAGCATGTTCGGGTTCCTGTCACCAGGGATTAGTTTAGCCCGTTCTTGAACTTCACATAAGCGAATCGTAGCATCTGTACTCTTTTTGTCTAGCTTCTCTGCTATGCAAAGCCCTTTTATATGCATTATCTCAATTCTCACAACAATCTTGCGAGATAATGAAGAATTCGCGTGCTAGTTATATGCTGGCCAAGAGTGTTTTGTTTAGCCTGTATGATGTTTTAAAATGTTTTGTTTGACTACTTGCAGCTTTAGAAGTTGAATGCAGTCCCTTGCTATTTTATACCCTGGAGAAGTCATTTATATTCCTTGCCTGGCACCTGTAGGCACTGAGTTTGCAAACTCTAAGGGGAGCATTTTTATTGTCTCCAGTCCCTGAGAAAACAGGTTCACCAATGGTTTAAAAACATCTGTATAAAACCTCACATCAAGCTGGTGGCAGCAGTGGGATCTGACCACAGGCCTGTCTTCCTCCAGCACCCACATGTTAGGATCAGAGAAGACAAGTTTGTCCTCAAATTCTATTGTTTCTAACTCTGAAATGCCCTTGTCTGCAGCCTCACTACCTCTGCCTTAGCCCACAGGCAGGCCTGGTCTTGGTCCCAGCCTCCTCCCGGCCCTGGCCAGCTCTGATGCTCACCAAAATGATCCCTGAACTCCCATCTGGTCATCCCAGTCTCAAACACATCCCGTGTTTCTTTCTTCCATGTGCTTGCTTGCGCTGGTTCTTCCTGCCTGAAGTGCCCACCCTTACTTGGCCACCCTTAAGGCTCAGCCAAAGATGCTACTTTCTCCTTGTTGCTCGCACCTCCCCTGGCTTCTCTTCCTTCTCAGTACACCAACTCAGTGTTTAAAATTTGCAATGTAATTAATTACCAAATAGTCGGTCAGATTGACCCACAGTGACTTTTAGGAATATGACCAAAATATCAGTCCCATAAAAGGTTAAAAAAGGAAGCTAATTTCATTCATTTGATCTCTGCTAAATGCATCACTAACTTTTTATTGATTCTTAAGAAAGAGAGATGAGAGGACTCTGTGCTACCCCCACTGGGTGCCAAATGAACAAGCAGTCGGAAGTTTATTGCTTCCAGACATCCCACTTGCTTTCCAGATACCCCATTGCGTTTCAATTCTACCGCATCAATGCTTGCTGAGCAGCCCTGGGCTCGACCATACAGGCTGGGTGTCTGGGAGGAAAAAAAAGGAGGCTGCAGCCCTGGGCTGGAGGAGTTTGGGACCTAGTTGAGGGTGTACGTGGAGACAGTGGCAGGTGAAGTGGCAGCTGGTTGTAGGGGGCCTTGTGTATATTACTGGTGTTCGGGGTTCTGGATCCCAGCCCTATCTCTTCTCTTTGTGGGATCTTGGGCTGGTTATTGAATTCTTAGGCGTCAGTTTCCTTATCTGAAAAATGTTTACATCATGTAACTTTATGAGTTTTTGGACCTGGGGCAAATATAATTGCCCTTGATGGGATTTTGCTTTTCTTCCATGTTTTAAAAATGGGCTCAGAAGTTTCAGATGCAAAATTATATTTTATTAGACCAGTATCCAGACAATAAAATAATGGAAGCTATCTTTTATGGGACATTTGCCATGTGCCAGCCCTGTGCTAGGTAGGCCTATCACACACATTGCCTTCTTTATTCTCACCGCCACCACTGCTGACTCCCCTGGACAGATGAGGGGAGTAAAGCTCAGAGAGGTGAAGTGATCTGCTTGATGTCACATGGTTGGTGAGTTACTGAAATCTGCAAATAATTGGTAAAATAAAGGGCTTCCTGTCTAGTTCATTTTTCTGCTCAGCATCTCCCCCCCATTTCTTCACCTGTTGACAAATCTGGCCTATTGGGCTAAAGGCAAAATCACTCATAGCATGCCATGCCACTGTCCTCGGGATTGGTCCAGGAGTGTTCATATGGTCTGGGCTGGGCGACCCAGAGTCCTTCCCTGGGATTTTCCAAATTGGAGCCTGAGAGAGAGTTCTCTTCTGTCTTGGATCACGGCTTTAGAAAGGTTGGGGGTTGTAGCTGGCCATGTTCCCCCTCATAACTTGGAGGAAAAGAGCAGAGGTGGGGAGAGTAGAGAGAGCATGAGAGCTGATGGCCCCTGGGCCCCTGGTCCAGCTCCTGTGCTGGACCCTGTCATGTGCTGCCCCCATTCTCTTTAGGGATTGTGTTAGTCAGCTCTCACTGCCACAGCAAAACACCATAGCCTGGGTGGCTTACACAACAGAAATTTATTTTCTCACAGTTCTAGAGACTGGAAAGTCCAAGGTCAAGCTGCCAGCATGCTCGCATTCTGGTGAGGCTGTGTCCTCATGCGGTGGAGAGAGAGAGCTTGGTGTCTCTTCCTCTTCTTATTAGGGCATTAATCCTACTGGACTAAGGCCCCACTCTTCTGACCTCATTCAGTCTTTATCCCCTCCTCATAGGCCCCATTCCAAATACAGCCACATTGGGGGTTAGGGCTTCAATATATGAAGGGGGGTGGGGATACACACTTTAAGTCCATAGCAGGAATGAAGGACTATTTACCTCAAGCTGCTGGGAGCTGCTGGCAGAAGGCCCTGAGCTGCCCGGCTCCTCTAGGGAACGCCTCAGCTGAAGACAGCTGCCCTGCTGGTTGTCAGTGCCTGGCCTCCTAGTCTCAACTCAGAACAATGATAAACATTTAGGAATAAAGGCTTGGCACCCTCGCCCCAGCACGGAGGGCTCATCCCAGCTTCAGAACTCCCCCAGCCCATGCTGCAGGATTGCATCTCAAGAGCCCCCTACACCCAGTCCTGCTCCCTTGCCTTCCCTTCCACAGCTCTCCCTAACAAACTTCCTCCATGCTAATAGCTACCTAAGAGTCCACCTCCTGGGAAACCCAGCCCGCAGCAGCCCTTCTGGTTCCTGAACCTGCCTGCTTCTTCATCTTCTCCTTCAACTCTGTGAACTACTCCAGTAACGTGTCCTTAGTTTTTGCTTAAAGCTCTATACAATCAGAGCTTTAAATCGGTGATAAACATCACCCCAAAACCCACCATCAGTGATCTCAGTTGCCTGAAGCACTGACGTGGGTGATTCCTAGAGGGATGGACAGAAGCCCCTGCAAACTTCTGCCTGCACCTGCTGAATCTCACCTGCCTGCCACTGTCTGAGGAGCAGTAATGGCTTCTGTTTCTCTTCCTCCTTCCAGATCTCATGAGAATGCCTCTTACTGGTGGAATCAAAACCATCAAAACTGCTGGCAAGGGAATCTGGGAAATGTAGTCTTGGTTTCCAGCTTCTGGTGATACAGGAAGAGCTCAGAAGGGCTGGCATAGCACTGAGTGCTAACAGTCAACATCCAGCACAAAATGCACTTGGAAATTCCCAAAAACATACAAACAAAAAAGCCCTGTGAGGAATTAAGGAGCTAATACTTGTGAATTTTCTATGACAAGGAAAATGTGCCCTGCAAACACAAGATGCCCTATAGCTGGAGAGGGTTCGGAATCAT